ATTCACTCTTCGTATCGTCATACTGTCTTCTGCTAAAATGCAATGTCAATACAACAACAATAGGGAAAGTTTGTACCGACACAGACACAACTTGTGCGTGTGGATTGAGGATTGATGACGGATGTGTGTGTGTGGGGTGGGGGTGTGTGGGTGGGGTAGGAGTGGGGTGGTGTGTTTGTGGGGGGGTCCGTGGAGGCGGTACGGAGTTGGGGGTGGTTCCTGTGTATAGACCGGAGAGTTGTCATCTGCTACATTGTGCTTTCCCTGTCGCCAACCCACCGCTATGTCAAGTACCAAACACAAACAGACATACCGCTCGTCCATTTGAGAAATGCTTGTAGAGTGAGGTTCGTGACAATTCATCGTTCAGCGTCTGGTAAGCAGATGTACAGGCCTCGTTGGACGATGCAATTTACCACGTACACATCGTGGCCTCTGTGGCATAAACAGGGATACGATAAATTAACGTTATATATATAGTAATATATATCAGGATAGATATATAGGGAATCTATTATTCTATTCCCGCTATTTATCTAGCGTCGCTGATATTAATATATATATAAATCATATAGTATTATATATATATAAGACACAATATGACACTATCATATACAATATACATTATATGTTACATCACTTTATATGTTGCTAGAGGCAAAACTATTGTAGCGTCGGGCGATGACTAGGGCCCGTTGTCAGAAACAAAATTACGTCTTAAAATTACGATGTTTCTGACAACGGGCGTCTAGGTTACAATCATAGAAATAATATAAGTAGACAACGTGTTTCTATATATTGCTCTGGTTACAACCTATGTTTGGTTAGAACCCTAGCATATATATATATATATATATATATATATATATATATATATAATAGCAGGAGCTAATAATGCTTGTATTAATACATGTATAGTTTAGCTCTAGTACTATCAAGTAGAGTAAATAATGCATGTATTATATTAGCTAATGATAGTACTAGAGCTATAAACTCGACTATAGACCGTGACCAGGTTAGAACCACCATACAGAATTCACCATCTGTCCCGCAAGCAATTTACGGTTTAAACGATGTAAACTTCCCACGATGGGGGTCGTGGTGGGTGGGTGGTGGTTTGTGTGAATTATTCATGCGTGATAACGCGTGTGTGCCTATCTGTAGGTCGATCTATCAGTATATAGCCATCTCTATATGCGGTTGAATAATCATCTCTCTGTGCGAGAGCATGCACTGCAAACGCTTAGCATCGTTATTATACCTTATCTGTGATTACACAATTCCCGTGATCAGAGTTAACTAGGGCTTGGTGTGGCTTAATGGGATGATAGCTTGATGTAGCTATTATATACAACCATATATATATAATTATATATAGTAATCTATATGCGGGCGTTTAGAATCGTTGCATTTATACTTTATCTGTGATTACACAATATCCGTGAGCAGAGTTAGGGCTTGGTGTGGCTTAATGTGATGATAGACTGATGTGGCTATTATAATATTATATGGGTTATACATCGATGGTTACACCGGGTAAAGATAGGAGAAATTACTAAAAGATATTATGGCCAATTGGCAGCTGTATAGTTGAACATCGTCTGTTATGAAGTATCATGATCGTATCGTATTGTATCGTAATCGTATTGTATTGTATCGTAATCGTATCGTATTGTATGGTAGCGCTTATTGTTTCTCTCCAGATAAAAATACATTTAGTCCAATAGAAAAGAGCCTCAAAAAGCTGGGCCACATTTTTGTGTCTAGGCCGCCCTCCCCATTCCTTTCTCCTAATTTCACCACGCTACATAATTAATTGGTAGTTTTCTTGATTGATTGATGGATTGGTTGAGTGATTGATGGTATTGCCTGCACCATCTACATTTAGATGGACACATAACATTATTATATATATTACAGCATTTGCTATCTATATACTTATATGGCCACATCGATATTTAACTTTATTATATAAATTATACCGTATAGTTGCTATCTAGATATTTTCATGGCTCCCTCAGTAGGCCACGACCATTTCTCTACACACCACACATTACATGTTAGCGCCACATCGTGTCCCACCCTCTCAGTGTTATTCACTACAACTAACAACTACCCAAGACTTCCTGGCGAGAGACAGCAGTAGCAGCAAAAGCAATAGCAGTAGTAGCAGCAGCAGTAGTAGCAGTAGTAGCAGTAGCAGCTAGTAGTAGCAGTAGTAGCAGCAGCAAAAGCAGCAAAAGCAATAGCAGTAGCAGCAGAAGCAGCAGCAGCAGCAGCAGCAGCAGCAGCAGCAGTGGCAGCAGTAACAACAACAGCAACAGCAGCAGCAACAACAACAACAGCTACAGCAGCAACAAACACTACAACAACAAAAACATTCATTCTGATAAGCAAGCACCGCATTAAAGCTTTTCAGTGTGAGATAATGATCGTGTAAACGACTGTAATAAATTTTAGAAGTATTGAACAGTAGAGAAGTATAGTTCGTAGAGAGGTA